ATAAACCTTATAACAATAACTTTAGGGTACCACCTAATTCGGATTATTACTATAGCCAGCAACAAAATCCGGATTATTGCCAACGAACGACAAATCATCCCCGACAGCCTTTTTTAGGGGTAAGCACAACACAGAAAAGAAGAGATACCGGAGGAGGAAAGAGAACAAATGGACACCCCCAAGGAAAGGAGGGTGTAAAAGCACAAGGTATTTTTAACCTTAGTGGAACTAATCTCACAGAGAAAGAGCTCCTTTTGCTTGATAAAGGATTGAAATATGCCCCATCTAAAAATCTGAACAAATTTGAAACTTATATAGATATACACAAGTTTGCACGACAGTTATCCCTGAAAAGGTATTTTGCGAATAATCCTATCACTAAAAATGCTCCGATTGATAGATACACTCATTCCAACCTGCATAATGCGTCTACTTATAACCCTCCTCCGCAAACACACGCATACGTGAATTTATTTAGAGATAAGGTCCTGAAAGAGTTAAAAGAAGAACCATATAAGAGATCTTTTGATAGATCGGGTGATGTAAAAGCTATTAAACTATTGCTTGAAAGAAACAATTTGGTAATAAGACCAGCTGACAAGGGTGGTGGTGTGGTTGTTCTCAATAAAGAGGACTACATTAACGAGGTAAATCACATTTTGAGTGATAATACTACTTATGTCCGTTTACTTAAGGATCCCAAAGTAGAATATAAACGTTCTCTTAAAATTATCATCAATAAGGGGTATGAAGAAGGGATTTTAAATAAAAAAGAAAAGGCCTTCTTATGCCCAACAGCACCAAAATTACCGGTCCTATACATATTGACGAAGGTCCATAAAGACCCCATAAAACCACCAGGAAGGCCAATAATAAGTGGTATTGGTTCATTATGCTCTAGGATTGGCGAATACGTGGACTTTTTTCTCCAACCGCTCGTTTTACAAACTGCAGCTTATTTTTTAAAAAGACACTAAACAGGTTCTAAACGAGGTCAGCACTATAGTCACTTCTCCTGAAACCTTTTTAGTAACAGCTGATGTTGCTTCCTTGTATTCGAATATCAATCATAATGATGGTATGGAAGCGGCTGACTTCTTTTTGACGCATTACAGCTCCCTACACGCCACCCAGAAGGATTTCATTTTAGACCTATTGGAATTCGCGATGTTTAGGAACTATTTTTGGTTCAACAAAGAATACTATTTGCAGATTAGAGGCGTGGCAATGGGGGCAAAGTTTGCCCCCAGCCTGGCAAACTTGTTTATGGCCCGTTGGGAGGAGGACCTTATTTTTGCTAGAGATTGGCCTGAGCTGTTGTTTTATAAAATATATATTGATGATATCTTGCTTTTATGGAATGGGGAGGAGGAGTCTCTTAAGAACTTTTTTAATTCATTAAATAATAATAGTCTTAATATTAAGCTCTCATATGTTTATAGCTGGGAAGAAATCAATTTCTTAGATTTGACACTTGTTAATCACATGGGTAGGATCATTACGAAATCATTTTTTTAAATCAACAGACCGTAATAGTTTCATCCCTCTTGGGAGCTGTCATCATCCCAAATGGCTGTCCAATATTCCAAAAGGACAGATGATGAGGATTAGGCGTAACTGTACGGATGATGTGACTTTTCATATTCAGGCCAATATTTTAAAACATAGGTTTTTAGAGAAGGGATACAATGAGGCAACCCTTGATCACACTATTTGGACAGTGGCACAGATGGATAGAAATACCATGCTGATGAATAAACCCAGGAATAATCAAAAGAAAATATGCCCCTTCATTACATCCTTCTCGACCCAATATAAGACGATTAATAAAATAATGAATGATAATTGGGGTATTTTAAAAATGGACCCAATCTTATCGGCAAATTTTACCGGATAAGCCAGAAATTGTATTCCGGAAGGCTACCGCTGTTAGGCACATGATTGCGCAAATGTTGTTGACCCTCCTAAAAACATATCCCTGTTTAATGATCTGAAAGGGTTTCACCCCTGTAATAGGTGCATCATTTGCAAGTGCAATAATACGAGAAAAAGGAGTCGACACATTTCAATCATCAATTACTGGCAGAACTTATAATATCGAACAATTTATTTCTTGTTACAGTAAGTTTGTAGTATATTTACTACAGTGTCCCTGTCGTAAACAGTATATTGGTAGGACAACAAGGAGTTTACGCGATCGGTTACGTGAACATGTTTCAAATATTAAGAAGGGGTTCAGGGAGCACTCAATATCAATCACTACCGTCTTCACCACAATAATGATCCATCTTCGTTAAAATTCATTGGTATTGATGTGATCGGTAATCATTGGAGGGGTATTAATAAGACAAGGACAGTTTCCCAAGCCGAAACAAAATGGGTGTTTGAGCTCCATACCTTACACCCCTTTAGGCCATAATATTGAGGTAGACGTTAACTGCTTTATTGCTAACAGTTGATGGGATCTGTCTCTGTGTCCCCTTCTTTTCTTTTTCTTATTACCCTTTTATGATATTTTAGCTCATTTACATCTGATGTGTATTATTCAGTATTTTTTATATCTTATATTGGGTTGTATTTTTAGTGTGTTCTCTTATTTTCAGTACGTGGGTATTTTCTCCATGAGTATGACAATTTTATGGTCTTATATTTGACTTTTTGATCATTTGTCCACCCTTACTGATTATTATTTATCAGTCCCGGTATAATTAGATGTTTCCTCCTACCCCGTTTATACCTCCAATTTAGGGGATGAGTAGAGGAACGATCATGACGATCTAAAATCTTAATGGATTGGTTTTAGAGCCTTTTGGTTTTTTATCTCTTTTTTTATCCTTTTGTTCTGTACATATTTATCATGTTTTGTTGGGACATATATATATTTACAATACTCACCTTGATATGGTCTGTCATTATAATACCAGATATGCTACTCATTGCTAAGTTTTATCTCTTTATTTTATTTTTGCTTTAATTCAAGTCTTTTTATGACTCAATACAATTTTGTGACATTTATGTATTTGTATTCCCTTCATCGTGCCGTGGTCCGTTACTATAATTTTACGCCATTCACTGAGGGGATCTTTATACCCCATAGATTATTATGCGCACGGTTACCGATACTTTATTTTGCACTATCACTTCATTTGGGAATATAGTGTTTTTAATAATTCCCTGGGTCTGTGGCATAGTCGGTAATCGGTACTGAAAGTCTGTGTAATGAGACTTCTTTGTCCCCTCCTTGTTATGTGCTAGATCGCGGATCCACGGCAAAATGGCGCTGCCATGCTCGCGCAATGCGCAGTACCTGCCTTTCCTCGGGAAAATGGCCGCGGCTAACTGCGCATGTGCCAGTTTCCCTATTTTTGGCACTGACGTCGGTCACGCTCCTGTACAGCCTCCCTCTGATGATGTGCCTGTAGCACGAAAGGCCTAAGGAGGAGCTGTGCAGAGCGTGACGTCATTCCAACCCCGGAGCCACGAGGAGGCCCGGCGGCCATCACTACTGGGGGTCAGTACTGCTGCTTGTTTATGTTCTCACATGATGTATAGTATGCACACTGCCCTGCTGTTTTTATGAATACAAATTACCTTTTGGAAGTACTACAATATCTCTGGCATCTGTTTTCTGGGGCTCCTGTGTGGAGCTATCATCCCCACAGAGAAAGCACTTTGCCACCGTGAGGGAGATGCCTGCTGCCTAACCTCTGATGTATCCATTGCCTGTGATGCATGATCACACATGCGCATAACCCATGCGTTTCCGGTGAGTGCGCATTTCTGTTATTTGACAGAGTGGATCCCAAGAATATTGCTACACTGAAACAGTTTTTGTGAAGAGGAGTGGTCCAAAATGACTTCAGATCGTTGTGCAGGTCTGATCTGCAACTACAGGAAACGTTTGGTTGAGGTTATTGCTGCCAAAGGAGGGTCAACCAGTTATTAAGTCCAAAGGTTCACATACTTTTTCCTCCCTGCACTGTGAATGTTTACATGTTATGTGCAATTAAACCATGGCAACATCTAATTGTTTGTGTAAAGTATTATGTTCAGCAGACTGTGTTCTTCTATTGTTGTGACTTAGATGACGTTCAGAGCACATTTTATGCCCAATTCATGCAAAACTCCACGTAATCCCAAGGGGTTCACATACTTTTTCGTGCAACTGTAGGTGAGTGGATAAAAGCTGTAATAATAAACATGGAATTCCCTACTGCTTCTATTTTATGATTGTCAAAGCGTGTATGTCAGGGAAATGCAGTTTTAAAAAGCAATTTCTAAAATATTATTATATAGAAGATTAATTAGCAATGCAAAACACAGCCCACCGAGGAGGACTAAATGTATAAAAGGTTTTCACGTCTACTAAGTAAATAGCAGAGACTAAAAATTCACTGGAAGTGGTAGATTATTTCTAGTAAAATAGATGATGGATGATCTGACATTGCTTGCTGGGGATTTGCAAAGTAAACTATTACATCCAGACAACATCTCTACAAACACGCAGGGATTCGAGGTGCGGTATGTAACAATTGTTTGGCGAAAAATGAAAACATAGGCACAGCATAGACTTGTGATTTTGTGTTTCTATACAGATGAAGAATTGTAGAAGTATAGGAAGTAGGATTAGATATGCTTCACAACCTCCTCCACCTCCACCACCCACTATATCCAGGTCACTTCCAATAATTATACAACAAATTGCAACTCAGCTCAACAAATGCCAAAGGAAGGTGGAATTATACATTTCCATTTTGAGTATTGTTATTGTATTCCTCACATTTTGTTTTTGCAATGCTATTTTTTTTCAGAGTTCCATTATCTAACTTGCTGACTGTCTCTGTTTTCATATACTCTCCCTTCCATTGAGGGAAATGCCATGTGCTTTTGTATTTATTGTTCCTTTTTATTCTAAAGAATAAAAAACAATCATTTAAAAGTGTGTTCAAGCCTAAAGTGTTACTAAACCCCGAACCTTGCATTCACTATATCCGCTCTCCCCCCCAGGACCCTGCATTCACTATATCCGCTCTCTCCCCGGACCCTGCATTCACTATATCCGCTCTCCCCCGGACCCTGCATTCACTATATCCGCTCTCCCCGGACCCCCTGCATTCACTATATCCACTCTCCCAGGACCCCGCATTCACTATATATGCTCTCCCCCGGACCCTGCATTCACTATATACGCTCTCCCCGGACCCTGCATTCACTATATCCGGTCTCCCCGGACCCTGCATTCACTATATCTGGTCTCCCTGGACCCCGCATTCACTATATCTGGTCTCCCCGGACCCTGCATTCACTATATCCGGTCCCCCCGGACCTGCATTTACTATATCCGGTCCCCACGGACCCTGCATTTACTATATCCGGTCTCCCCGGACCCTGCATTCACTATATCCACTCTCCCCGGACCCCGCATTCACTATATCCGGTCTCCCCGGACCCTGCATTCGCTATATCCACTCTCCCCCGGACCCCGCATTCACTATATCTGGTCTCCCCGGACCCTGCATTCACTATATCCGCTCACCCTGGACCCTGCATTCACTATATCCAGTTTCCTCGGACCCTGTATTCACTATATCCGCACTCCCTGGGCACTGCATTCACTATATCTGGTCTCCCCTGACACTGCAATTACTATATCTGCTCTCCCCGGACCCTGCATTCACTATATCTGCTTTCCCCGGACCCTGCATTCACTATATCCGCTCACCCTGGACCCTGCATTCACTATATCCAGTTTCCTCGGACCCCTGTATTCACTATATCCGCACTCCCTGGGCACTGCATTCACTATATCCACTCTCCCCGGACCCCGCATTCACTATATCTGCTCTCCCCGGACCCTGCATTCACTATATCCGCTCTCCCCGGACCCTGCATTCACTATATCCGTTCTCCCAGGACCCCGCATTCACTATATATGCTCTCCCCGGATCCTGCATTTACTATATCTGCTCTCCCCGGACCCTGCATTCACTATATCCGGTCTCCCCGGACCCTGCATTCACAATATCCGCTCTCCCGGACCCTGCATTCACTATATCCCGGTCTCCCTGGACCCCGCATTCACTATATCTGGTCTCCCCGGCCCCCTGCATTCACTATATCCGGTCTCCCCGACCCTGCATTCACTATATCCGGTCTCCCCGGACCCTGCATTCACTATATCCACTCTCCCCCGGACCCCGCATTCACTATATCCGGTCTCCCCGGACCCTGCATTCACTATATCCCACTCTCCCCGGACCCCGCATTCACTATATCTGGTCTCCCCGGACCCTGCATTCACTATATCCGCTCACCCCGGACCCTGCATTCACTATATCCGTCTCCCCGGACCCTGCATTCACTATATCCGCTCCCTGGGCACTGCATTCACTATATCTGGTCTCCCCCGGACCCTGCATTCACTATATCTGCTCCCCCGGACCCTGCATTCACTATATCCGCTCACCCTGGACCCTGCATTCACTATATCCAGTCTCCTCGGACCCTGCATTCACTATATCCGCACTCCCCCTGGGCCCTGCATTCACTATATCCACTCTCCCCGGACCCTGCATTCACTATATCCGCTCTCCCCGGACCCCGCATTCACTATATCTGCTCTCCCCGGACCCTGCATTCACTATATCCGCTCTCCCCGGACCCTGCATTCACTATATCCGCTCTCCCCGGACCCTGCATTCACTATATATGCTCTCCCCCGGATCCTGCATTCACTATATCTGCTCTCCCCGGACCCTGCATTCACTATATCCGGTCTCCCCGGACCCTGCAATTCAGATATATCCCTGAGGGGTCTCCTGACCCTGCATTCACTATATCCGCTCTCCCCGGACCCCGCATTCACTATATCCGGTCTCCCCTTCCCCGACCCTGCATTTACTATATCCGGTCTCCCAGACCCTGCATTCACTATATCCGCTCTCCCCGGACCCCGCATTCACTATATCCGGTCTCCCCGGACCCTGCATTCACTATATCCCTCTCCCCGGGACCCCGCATTCACTATATCTGGTCTCCCCGGACCCTGCATTCACTATATCCGCTCTCCCTGGACCCTGCATTCACTATATCCAGTTCTCCCTGGACCCTGCATTCACTATATCCGCTCCCCTGGACCCTGCATTCACTATATCTGGTCTCCCCGGACCCTGCATTCACTATATCTGCTCTCCCCGGACCCTGCATTCACTATATATCCGCTCTCCCCGGGACCCTGCATTCACTATATCCAGTTTCTCTCCAGACCCTGCATTCACTATATCCGCACTCCCCTGGACCCTGCATTCACTATATCCACTCTCCCCGGACCCTGCATTCACTATATCCGCTCTCCCCGGACCCTGCATTCACTATATCTGCTCTCCCCGGACCCCGCATTCACTTATATCTGGTCTCCCCGGACCCTGCATTCACTATATCTGGTCTCCCCGACCCTGCATTCACTATATCCGCTCTCCCCGGACCCTGCATTCACTATATCCGCTCTCCTCGGACCCCCGCATTCACTATATCTGCTCTCCCCGGACCCCGCATTCACTATATCCGGTCTCCCCCGGACCCTGCATTCACTATATCCGGTCTCCCCGGACCCTGCATTCACTATATCCGCTCTCCCCGGACCCTGCATTCACTATATCCGCTCTCCCCGGACCCTGCATTCACTATATCTGCTCTCCCCGGACCCTGCATTCACTATATCTGGTCTCCCCGGACCCTGCATTCACTATATCTGGTCTCCCCGGACCCTGCATTCACTATATCTGGTCTCCCCCGACCCTGCATTCACTATATCTGGTCTCCCCGGACCCACCTGCATTCACTATATCTGGTCTCCCCGGACCCTGCATTCACTATATCTGGTCTCCCCGGACCCTGCATTCACTATATCCGCTCCTCTCCCCCTGGACCCTGCATTCACTATATCTGGTCTCTCCCCCCTGGACCCTGCATTCACTATATCTGGTCTCCCCTGACCCTGCAATTCACTATATCTCTCTCCCCTGACCCTGCAATTCACTATATCCGCTCTCCCCGACCCTGCATTCACTATATCCGCTCTCCCCGGACCCTGCATTCACTATATCTCGTCTCCCCGGACCCTGCATTCACTATATCCTCTCCCTGGACCCCACATTCACTATATCCGATCTCTCCCGGACCCCACATTCACTATATCCGCTCTCCCCAGACCCTGCATTCACTATATCCGCTCTCCCCGGACCCTGCATTCACTATATCCGCTCTCCCTGGACCCTGCATTCACTATATCCGCTCTCCCCGGACCCCGCATTCACTATATCCGCTCTCCCCGGACCCTGCATTCACTATATCCGCTCTCCCCGGACCCCGCATTCACTATATCCGGTCTCCCCGGACCCTGCATTCACTATATCCAGTCTCCCCGAACCCTGCATTCACTATATCCACTCTCCCCGGACCCTGCATTCACTATATCTGGTCTCCCCCCCCTGCATTCACTATATCCGCTCTCCCCCGGACCCTGCATTCACTATATCTGGTCTCCCCAGACCCTGCATTCACTATATCTGCTCTCCCTGGACCCTGCATTCACTATATCCGCTCTCCCCTGGACCCTGCATTCACTATATCCGTTCTCCCCCAGACCCTGCATTCACTATATCCGCTCTCCCCCGACCCTGCATTCACTATATCCGTTCTCCCCCAGACCCTGCATTCACTATATCCGGTCTCCCCGGACCCCGCATTCACTATATCTGGTCTCCCCGGACCCTGCATTCACTATATCCGCTCTCCCCGGACTCTGCATTCACTATATCCGTTCTCTCCCCAGACCCTGCATTCACTATATCCGGTCCCCCGGACCCCCGCATTCACTATATCTGGTCTCCCCAGACCCCTGCATTCACTATATCTGCTCTCCCAAGACCCTGCATTCACTATATCCGCTCTCCCCGGGACCCTGCATTCACACTATATCCAGTCTCCCCGGACCCTGCATTCACTATATCTGCGCTCCCCGGACCCTGCATTCACTATATCCATCTGTTCCCCTCGGACCCTGCATTCACTATATCCGCCTCCCTGGGCCCTGCATTCACTTCACTATATCTGCTCTCCCCCCCCCCGGACCCTGCATTCACTATATCTGGTCTCCCCGGACCCTGCATTCACTATATCCGCTCTCCCCCGACCCTGCATTCACTATATCCAGTTTCCTCTCCCCGGACCCTGTATTCACTATATCCGCCTCCCTGGGCCCTGCATGCATTCACTATATCCGGTCTCCCCGGACCCTGCATTCACTATATCTGCTCTCCCCGGACCCTGCATTCACTATATCTGGGACCCTGCATTCACTATATCTGGTCTCCCCGGACCCTGCATTCACTATATCCGCTCTCTCTCCCCGGACCCTGCATTCACTATATCTGCTCTCTCCCCCGGACCCTGCATTCACTATATCCGGTCTCCCCGGACTCCTGCATTCACTATATCCACTCACCCGGACCCTGCATTCACTATATCCGCTCTCCCCGGACCCTGCATTCACTATATCCGCTCTCCCCGGACCCCGCATTCACTATATCTGGTCTCCCCGGACCCTGCATTCACTATATCTGGTCTCCCCGGACCCTGCATTCACTATATCTGCTCTCCCCGGACCCTGCATTCACTATATATCTGGTCTCTCCCTGACCCCGGACACTGCAATTACTATATCTGGTCTCCCCGGACCCTGCATTCACTATATCTGGTCTCCCCGGACCCTGCATTCACTATATCTGCTCTTCCCCGGCCCTGCATTCACTATATCCGTCTCTCCCCGGACCCTGCATTCACTATATCCGCTCTCCCCGGGACCCTGCATTCACTATATCCGATCTCCCCGGACCCTGCATTCACTATATCCTCTTCCCCGGACCCTGCATTCACTATATCCGCTCCCCTGGACCCTGCATTTCACTATATCCGTCTCCTCCCCGGACCCTGCATTCACTATATCCGCTCTCCCCGGACCCTGCATTCACTATATCCGCTCTCCCTGGACCCCGCATTCACTATATCCGGTCTCCCCGGACCCTGCATTCACTATATCCGATCTCCCCGACCCTGCATTCACTATATATCCGCTCTCCCCGGACCCTGCATTCACTATATCCGCTCTCCCCGGACCCCGCATTCACTATATCGCTCTCCCCGACCCCGCATTCACTATATCTGCTCTCCCCCGGACCCCGCATTCACTATATCCGCTGGTCTCCCCCCCCCCCCCCCGGACCCCTCATTCACTATATCCGCTCTCCCCCGGACCCTGCATTCACTATATATCCGTCTCCCCCCGACCCTGCATTCACTATATCCGCTCCGCCTCCCGGACCCTGCATTCACTATATCCGTTCTCTCCCCGGACCCTGCATTCACTATATCTGGTCTCCCCGGACCCCGCATTCACTATATCTGGTCTCCCCGGACACTGCATTCACTATATCTGCTTTCCCCGGACTCTGCATTCACTATATCCGTTCTCCCCAGACCCTGCATTCACTATATCTGGTCTCCCCGGACAGTGCATTCACTATATCTGCTTTCCCCGGACCCTGCATTCACTATATCCGTTCTCCCCCAGACCCTGCATTCACTATATTCGGTCTCCCCCGGACCCTGCATTCACTATATCTGGTCTCCCCGGACCCTGCATTCACTATATCTGGTCTCCCCGGACCCTGCATTCACTATATCTGCTCTCCCCGGACCCTGCATTCACTATATCTGGTCTCCCCCCGGACCTGCATTCACTATATCTGGTCTCCCCTGACACTGCAATTCACTATATCTGGTCTCCCCTGACACTGCAATTCACTATATCTGATCTCCCCGGACCCTGCATTCACTATATCCGCTCTCCCCGGACCCTGCATTCACTATATCCGCTCTCCCCCGGGCCCTGCATTCACTATATCTCGTCTCCCCGGACCCTGCATTCACTATATCCGCTTCTCTCTGGACCCCACATTCACTATATCCGATCTCCCCAGACCCTGCATTCACTATATCCGCTTCCCCGGACCCTGCATTCACTATATCCGCTCTCCCTGGACCCTGCATTCACTATATCCGTTCTCCCCAGACCCTGCATTCACTTATATCTGGTCTCCCCGGACCCTGCATTCACTATATCTGGTCTCCCCGGACCCTGCATTCACTATATCTGCTCTCCCCGGACCCTGCATTCACTATATCCGTTCTCCCCGACCCAGCATTCACTATATCCGGTCTCCCCGGACCCTGCATTTCACTATATCTGGTCTCCCCCAGACCCTGCATTCACTATATCTGCTCTCTCCCGGACCCTGCATTCACTATATCCGCTCTCCCTGGACCCTGCATTCACTATATCCAGTCTCCTCCGACCCTGTATTCACTATATCCGCTCACCCCCTGGACCCTGCATTCACTATATCCAGTCCTCCCGGACCCTGTATTCACTATATCCGCACTCCCTGGGCACCTGCATTCACTATATCTGGTCTCCCCCCGACCTGCATTACTATATCTGCTCTCCCCCCGGACCCTGCATTCACTATATCTGGTCTCCCCGGACCCTGCATTCACTATATCTGGTCTCCCCGGACCCTGCATTCACTATATCCGGTCTCCCCGGACCCTGCATTCACTATATCTGGTCTCCCCGGACCCTGCATTCACTATATCTGGTCTCCCCTGACACTGCAATTACTATATCTGGTCTCCCCTGACCCTGCATTCACTATAATCCGCTCTCTTCCCGGGCCCTGCATTCACTATATCCGCTCTCCCCCCCGGCCCTGCATTCACTATATCTCGTCTCCCCGGACCCTGCATTCACTATATATCCGT